CCGTGTTCAAGAGAGCACCCACTACTCGACAGACTCCGTGTCCAAGAGAGCACCCACAACTCAAAAGACTCCGTGTCAATAAAGCACCCACCACTCAACGGACTCCGTGTCCGAGAGAACACCCACTGCTCAACAGACTCCGTGTCCAAGAGAACACCCACTACTCAGCAGACTCCGTGTCCAAGAGAGCACCCACTACTCAACAGACTCCGTGTCCAAAAGAGCACCCACTACTCAACAGACTCCGTGTCCAAGAGAACACCCACTACTCCACAGACCCCGCTGCCAGAGAGCACCCAATAGAAGTCTATGATACCAGAGAAAAAACCCATCAGATTTTTTTGTGGGGGGGGCTATGGGGCTTTAGGGCTTTAGGGCTATGGGGCTATAGGGCTATAGGGCGATGTGGCCATAGGGATATAGGGCTAGAAGCCTGCAGGGCTATGGGGCTATCGGGCTACAGGGCTATAGGGCTATAGGGCTAAGGGCTATAAGGCTATTCGGGCTTTCGGGCTATAGGGCTATATACGGCTATAGGGCTTTAGGGTTTTAGGACCATAGGGCTATAGGGCTATAGGGCTATAGGGCTATAGGGCTATAGGTATATAGGGCTATAGGGCTATAGGGCTATGGGGATATTGGGCTATTGGGCTATCGGAGGTGAGGCGGTGAGATCGAAGTGGAACGGCGAGCCCCCCACCGGGAAATCGGTTTCGGTTTCGTGTTCGTGCGTGCCGTGCGTGCGAGGCGAAGCTGCGTGGGCGGGCGAGAAAAAGTCGCCTGTGGCGCGGCCAGACCACATGTTTCTCTTCTGGGGCGCGGGGCCCCGCGGTGTCCCGCCGGTGTCCCGCGGTGGCCTCCTGTGGCTGAGGCGCGGCCGGACCAAATGTTTCTCATCCGGGGCGCGGGGCCCCGCGGTGTCCCGCCGGTGTCCCGCGGTGACCCGCGGTGTCCCGCGGTGTCCCGCGGTGTCCCGCGGTGTCCCGCCGGTGTCCCGCGGTGTCCCGCGAGGATGATGATGATGATGATGATGATGATGATGATGATGATGATGATGATGATGATGATGATGATGAGATGATGATGATGATGATGATGATGATGATGATGATGATGATGATGATGATGATGATGAGATGATGATGACGATGAAAATGATGATGTTGATGATGGTGTCGATGATGATGATAGTGTCCCGATGATGAGGATGATGGTGCTCATGATGATTATGTTGATGATGGTGACGATGATGGTGTCCCGATGATGATGATGATGATGATGACGATGATTCCGATGATGTTGGTGATGATGATTTTGATGGAAATAGTGTCCCAGCGATAATGATGTTGATGATGATTATGGTGTCCCGATGATGATGCTGATGATGATGATGATGATGATGATGGTGATGATGATGATGATGCTGATGCTGATGGTGTCCCGATGATGAAAATAATGATAATGACGATGTTGATGATGATGTTGCTCATGATGATGATGGTGCCCCAATGATGATGATGTTGTTATTGATGATGATGATGATGTCGATGATGATGATGATGCGATGATCATGATGATGGTGGTGTCCCGAGGATGATGACGATCTTGATGATAATGTTGATGATGAGAACGATGGTGATCATGATGGTGTCCCGATTATGATGATGATTATGATGATGCTGCTGATGATGATGACGATGACTGTGTCCAGATGATGATGATGATGTTGATGATGAGATGATGATGGTGATGATGATGATGTTGTCCCGATGATGATGATGATGATGATGATGATGATGATGATGATGATGATGATGATGATGATGATGATGACGTTGATGATGATGTTTCTGATGATGATGACGGTGCCCTCATGATGATGACGATGTTGGTGATGCTGTTGATGTTGATGATGATGTTGATGATGATGATGACGTTGATTGTGAGAGCGATTGCGATATCGATAGTGAGATCGATATTGAGACCGAATGTGAGATCGATTGTGTGATCGATTGTGAGATCGATTGCGAGATCAATTGTGAGATCGATCGAATGAGATAGATCGAGTGAGATCGATTGTGAGATCGATCGAGTGAGATCGATCGAGCGAGACCGATAGTGAGATCGATACTGAGATCGATAGTGAGACCGATCGAGTGAGACGTTGGTTCCCCCCCCCCGAACCTCCTTATCACCCGAAGGGTGGTCGTATAGGTACGGCTATAGGGCTATAGGGTTATAGTGCTATAGGGATATATGGCGATTGGGCTATTGGGCTATAGGGATGTTGGGCTGTTGGGCTAGGCACCCCCGGGCACTTCTGGGCACCCCGGGCACCCAGGCACCCCTGGGCACCCGGGCACCCTCGGGCACCCCCGGGCACCCGGGCACCCGGCCCCGGCCACCGAAATCGGCCACGCACCTGGGCACCCGGGCACCCCCGGGAACCCCCGGGCACCCGGGCACCCGGCACCGGCCACCGAAATCGGCCGCTCACCTCACCTCAGCTTTATATCGGCTAGGACCCCTACAGAGGCAAGCTCTGATTGGGGAATTTAAAAACCCGACCCGCCCGCCCGACCGCCCCCCCACCCGACCGCCCTCCCCGACCATGGACGACGCATGGGAGCCTCACGTCGCCAAGAGGATCTCGAACATGGTCGCGGGCGGCTACCCCTTGCCATTCAGCCAGCTCGTTCCGCTCGTCAAGTCCAAGCGCGCAATCACCACTTTGTTGCCCTGCAAGATCCACGGGCAGAAGTGCCCGATGAAGGGGAGCAAGATCCACTTCGCCGGCCTACCCTGCGTGGACTATTCGCCACAGGGTCTTTCCAGGAGAGAGACTGGGCCGACCTCTACTTCGTTTGGTGCGTGGGCCGGCCAACGCATCATTATGCAGGAGGGGTTCGTCATCATCGAGTGCGCGAAGGAGTTCGACGCTGACATGATCATTGGCCCCGTCTTCCAAGATGCCTATTTCGTTGAATCTATGGCGATTGACGCGGTGGATAGGGGGTTGCCACAGAGGAGGAAGCGGATGTGGACCGTGATGGTCCACAGGTCGGTGGTGCTCGAGCAGACACCTACCCTTTCGAACGTGATCAATCTCTTCAAGTCCCCGATCATCTACTCGTGGCAGATCTTCCTCGCAGCGTCCGATGACGAGAAGCTCCATGAACTCAAATGGGCCTCTCGCGAGACAAACCCAAAGCGAGCGAGTTCTGCATGGCCAACTGGGGTCGCGGTGACTCTTGAGGTGGATGACGCTTTCGTGAAGGCTCTTTCGCAGTGGGAGCTCGACAACTGGAGGGAGTACCAGAGGATGAACAAGGACACGATGGGCGAGCTGTGCTACCTCATCCAGCAGAACCCTCACAAGCATGCCCACAAGAGCACGCAGAAGATCCTTTGCACTCTCATCAAGAATTCCCCGTTCCTCTTCTGTACACCTCATCGCCGATGGTTCACGGGGTCGGAGTGCTTGAACGCGCAAGGGTTCCCAACGGACGAGGTCATGAAGATCATCGACGAGGGCCACATGAAGCTTGGGAAGCGGCACTGCTCGTTCAACCAGGCGCGCGTGCCGAGGCAGAGTCATCACATGAAGGAGCAGGCGGGTAACTCGATGCCGATCCCGGTCTGCGGGATGATGTGGGTCTTCATCTTCGGGTTCCACGTGCACTTGGGCGCGTGAGCGCAGCTTGCATTGCCTCTCTCTTCTCGTTGGCTGCTCGAGCGATAGGTCGTTCGACATAGCAGGCAGCCTTGCCTCAGCCAAGTCCCTAACAGTTTTGAGTGTTTTGAGTCAGTTTCGTTTCAATTTGAATTTCAGTCGTGCTCCTCGGTGCTCCTTGGGCCTCCTTGGGCCAAGCCAGATCGAATTCCAGGTCAAGTGTTTACATTGAGTAGTCAACCATTCGTGAGTTTTGATTTTGGCCCCATGGGCACGCTCAGTGGCGAGCGACGCATGGTATGAGGGGTGAAGGGCGCCAGCGCGAAGGGGAAGACGTGGGGGCAGGGGATTGCCAGATACGAGCAGCACTAGCAGTTTGAAACATTTGAAGTGAGTTTGCTGTTTGCCCAGGTCTTGCATGTGATGCTTCGATGGCCATTCGGCCGAACAGTCCCTGCAATCCCTGCAAGAGGCTGAGGTGCGAGGCCTATGACGGTGGCCTGGTTTCTGAGCCAGGGGAGTCCAGGGTGCGCGCTGTGTGATCTAATACTTTCTAGCACGCGTGTGATACGCGTGGCAGCTCCCGAGGGAGCCACGATTTCTCATCGCCGCGTTCAGGCGGCAGCTAGCGGCCGGCCCGTGTTCAGATTCGCCGAGGCAATCAGTCAGTCGGCGCCGGCGCAGTGCATCGGAGTCTCGAGCCCAGACCACTGTGAGAAGTTGGGCTCTTGCGCTCGAAATCCAAACTCGTCGTCGTTAATCCCTTCTGCTTACATTCCACTCCCTCCCTCACTCCCTCCCTCCCTCCTTCCCGCGCTGCCTCTGCTAGCTGCAGCGCCGCCATTAGCTGACAGGCCATACGCTTCATCAGCAGCGCAATCCAAAAAAAAATCCTTCCCGCGCTCCCTATGCCTCGATCCATTCCTCGTCCTCGCATCCTCATGCTTGGAATCGCGAGAGTAACACCCAGTAACACCTGTAGATACCTAAACATTCTAAACCAGTATCGGAAGTTTATCGCCGTGCCTGGTCGTGGTTGTCGGGCGCTACTACTAAGGCGCAGGACCATCGGACTAAGGACCACCAAGGACCTGGATCTGACTAAGGACTCGACCCTCTCGGGCAGACCATCCATCAGACTAAGGACCACCAACCAAGGACAACTCCTGGATTCGCTAAGGGCCATCACCTAAACGTAGTAAGGAGGAATTAAGTAGGGAGGAACAAAATGAATAACAAGAAGCAGCCAGTAGCCATTTTGGCTCCCACTCCGGCAACGTGGCCTATCGAACTTGCCCCAAGAGCTACCAGAGACATTGGCCTGGCTATGAAGCCGCATTCAATGCCCAAGCTGGCGGCCACAGCCACTCCCCAATCTGCCAGTCCCGGGAAGAAGAGCTCTGGCGGGCCGCTCGAGAGTCCGCTTACCAAGCGCAGCCGCTTCGTTGGCAAGCAATCCAAGCAGTCCCTGCCTCCTGCATCTTTTGCGGACTCCAAGCACCATGATGCTCTCTATGGACCGCGAGAGCACATTCGCCACCGCTTCCCTGGGCTCATTGGGCTACGATTGCTCAATACGGTCAATAAGTGGTATCGTGCGCAGAAGGACCAGCGCCTTCCTTTCTTCAGCAGCGGCTTCGGCAACACCAACGGCACCAAATTGCTCGTGATGCACGACATGAACCGCCGTGACCAAGGCGCGGTGGAGGAGGACTACACGCTAAAGGTCCTCAGTATGGGCAGCGTCCCTGGCGTGCGAGGACAGCCATGGGCAGTCTTGACTGCTGATCGTGCCGACCCTGACGGCGACGGAGTGCCGCCCTACCAGTTGCTGACCTTCGGCACGCTTACGCGTGCGATCTACAATGCGATCAGTAGGGAGCCTGAGAACCCGCAGGTGGAGGCGACGCTCGAGGCGGGCTTGCATGGCGCTCAGATCTACAGCTGCCGCACGCCCCCAGACGTGTGCGAATTCCTCATGGAGTTCCACAACGAGTTCCACCAGGGCAGCGGCTACACCTTGATACAGTTCGTCCAGCTCACAGAGAAATCCGAGGCGCAATGGAAGGCGCATGCGCATAGCTCTGGACAGGACGTCACGAACCAGGATGCGCGGCAAACATGGTTGTCAACACAATACCCGTAGAAGTACAACAGCCCCAACGTGTTCAACGACGCCAAGGCCAGCTTGCACGCCCGCAAACGTCGTGGCATGTACCAGCCCGCCATGGCCTTACTCGGGGCTACCTGCGAGTTCACGGAGCTCAAGAACGAGTTCGCCGCGTATGCAATCCACGAGCTGATGATTGTCCTGGAGACCAAGTACAAGCACGCGATGCCGAAGGAGCTGCTGATCACCGTGGGCTGCGAGATCCTGAAGTTCATGGTGCCGACCGTGGCGCGCAAGGAGGACGCTGCGCCAGGGTCTGACTCTTTCAAGAACAACCAGTTCCTCCAGTCGTTCGTCAGTACTCGGGAGTTGCCGTGGATTCTCAACAGTCGCGACAACGTGAAGAACAGGATGGGGTTGTAATGAGTCGATGACTTCAGAGCCATGCCAACACATGTTGGAGGAGGAAGGAGGAGAAGGGAGGATGCGGAAGTCTAGAAGAGGAAGCAAGGTGGGAGGGACTGCCTGGGGCTGTTAAAGAAGGCCCGAAGGGCCTGGACTATTCCAATACTGTACTACTAGTACCCTACTCGGGACCCTCCTTCCAGAGCAACCCATGACACTCTCTCGGGGACCCCTGGGAATCCTCCTGAACCTCGCGGGGCCCCAGGTACCTCCCTCCGACTTAAAAACCTACCGTGGCCCTTTGGGGATCGTCGTGGGGCCACCATGGGCCGTCTAGGGGTCTAGGGATGTCCCGAGGGGCCTCGAGAGGCTGTCATGCCCGCGCTCCCCTGGGAAGGAGAAACTCAAGCTCCTGATCACAGGCATGGCGGGTTCAGCGGCCTTGAAAAGGCTGGAGGCCAACCAGCCCGACCGCCGGGATGGAGGCTGCTGTGGGCCTCCTCCCTCCTCCTCCTCCTCCTCCTCCTCCTCCTCCTCCTCCTCCTCCTCTTCCTCATAGTCTGTATGCTCTGTCCTGCTCACTCCTCGCCCTCTTCGTCCACTCCTCTTCTCACTTCTCCACCTTCACCTCGCATCTGGAGTCCGAGGATAAAGTTAGCACAACAACTTCAAAGCTTGAGATGGCCTCAAGCTCTAAAGTTATGATGTTGCCTCGCTTCCTCGCGCCTTCGCTACACTTTATCCTCGAACGCCTCTTCCTCTTCCTCCAAGGCTAAGGAGTGCGCGGACGCCATCGTCGCCTACGACAAGGGTCCCACCAACAAGAGCAAGACGGTCAAGACTCGGGAGAAGACCTGGTTGGACGACTTGGTCGCTTGCCTTGACTGGGTTGTGTCGTTGCTCCCAGCAGAGCCGCCAGAGTTGGGCCACATGATGACGATGAAGCACGTCACCGGATCAACCTTCTGTACGTCGGCTCAGCGTACTCGGTTGTGGTGACGTCCAACCTGGAGTGGATGGACGCGAAGATCCAGAATGATTGTTTTGATGAATGGGAATATCTTATGCTTCAGTATTCTCATAGATATTTGATTGATGTCAGTGCTTGGTTACACTATGACGAACACTGTGAAAGTTTCAATGGAGTTCACTACGTGAGGAGCTGCATGAAACGATTGTTCTATTATGTCTGGTCATTATCTCATAGTACCTGGAACAAAATTCAGCATGCTCTTCATGGGAATGGGCCGTCTCAGAAGAAGTCATTCCAGAACATGTTGGCAAGAATCACCCCTGCCAAATCACAGGCGAGAATATGTGCGGTCCTCGAGCTTCAGAGGGACCACAATGCCCAGCAAGTGTATGATCATTTAAAAAAGTTCTCGACGGAGCGGATGAAGACCATTGCGGCTTTGCCCACCCAGGAGATCGCAAAGGCCATCGACGCATGGCTGAAGGAGCAGCCCATCGGCACTACAGCTCCAGCCAGCAAGGACGTCGAGAAGGCTACCACAAAGGCGAAGAAGAAGAAGAAGAAGAAAGAGCCACAACCACCAGGGTGGCAAAATACCTCGAGACTGGATCCTGATGATTGGGATATTCCAGTATGCAGAGGACTACCGAAAGATGTCAATAACATGAAGGCGGTCCACCTGGTCACTGTTGCTGAGCTACTGGAGCTTACTAAGCTCGACAGTTTCTGGCAGCGGCCCGACCCGACTGACCCTTCGGTTTTGTGCTGGCGCAGGCGCCGTCGCAGGTGCCGAAAGATCTATACTTGATATGTGGCCAGTGTGGACTAGCGCCGGCTATCAGCTTGATGTATGTACCTCTTCTTGAGAGTGATGGCAGGCGCACGATCAAGCAGGTATGGCAATATGGCGGAAAACAGAACGAGGTTGTTGTCCCCAAAAAGAAGCCAACGAAGATCACATGCTCCCAAGATGAGCTAATGAATATTGCTGTTCTCGAGGCTCATTGCACGGAGAAGTTGTTCAAAGATCTGTATAAAATGCACAAACAAGCAACGGCAGCACGTGATTGGCGTGCTGAAGGTACGACTGGGCGCAAATATGAGTCACCACCACCATGGCGAGTTCTGGACAATGAGCTGGCGAGGATTGTTCTGGCGAAGCTTCCTGTCCAATTTCACAGCCCAGACATGGATCTCAAATTGTGGAGTGGCAGAGTTTTCAATGACGATCAGCCTGGACAAAGGATTATATCTGGATTGTTCAAAACTACGGCTCAGAGAGCTCAAGCTTTGCGAGCTGAATCTGGGCCAGATGGTATCATCTTTCAAAGGTCTCGTGCAGGTGGCGTGGCAAACCAGGCTCTGGACGAGGAGAAGGACACAGAGGACTTCGTGCCCATCGCACGCGGCACGACAATGACGGATGCAATCACACAGACAGCAGCTCTTGAGGGAGGTCGAGGCCTGGGCTACAAAGCCAATGGCGCCCTCTTCTTTCGGGTATGCAAGACAAAGGCTCAGGCAGCGTGGCAGGCTCTCCAAGGACGTGCCCCGCCTGCGCCATCAATGTATGAGATTTCTCCTCTGCCTCAGCTGGTGGAGGGCAAGCAACTGGTCAGTGAACTATCTCGGCAACTGGGATGGGAAGCTGAATTTGTCAGTCTTCGCAAGAAAGGTAAAGGATCACGATCGACTCCAGTTATCCGTGTGCGAGCTGCAGGGCCACCGCAGGTTTCTGATATACTCTCGGGCGATATCCAGGCAACGATCAATGTAGTCAAGAAGCCAGAGGCTCCAGCACCAGAATCAAAAGAGTGGGTGGATATTGTTACAAAGTTTACTGAGAGGAAGCAGAGAAAGCAAGCGCCAACCCAGCCAGCAGCTACGAGCTCCAGCCTCACAGCACAACTCACACGACCAGCACGACCAGCAGCATCAGCACAACCGCAGCAATATCAAGAGCAGCTACCGCCTCCGACGCCGGCGTCGTCAGCAGGCAGTGGGCTCTCCGCGGACTTCCAGAAGTTCATCACAGATGCGATTGGTGCAGCGTTGGCGGCTCAGAACAAGCAAATCATGACACAGCTCCAACAGCAGGGGCAAGAACTTTCAAAATGCTTCGACCTACTGCGTGCAGGATCGGAGGTTCTCACGGAGGAGGAGTGAAAGGACGATGAAGAACTTGAGCGCCTGGCAAAGCGACTCAAAGAAACCTCAGAGACCGACCCTATGAAAGTTGATCCGCCGCAATGATGACCTCCAGACGACTGCGAGGCAAGCAGCCGTCCACAGGGAAGCTGGAGCCACCTCGGACAGCGAGGTTGGCCACAATATTATCTGCAAATATTACCAGCTGGAATACTTTCAGTGGGAGAATGACGTGCATGACGGCAGATGTCTTAGCTTTGCAGGAAACGAGACTCAGCCTTAGAGAACAAATTGGATGGGGGAAAACATGTGCAGCAGTACGTTACCAGGCCAGTTTTGGGTTACCTGTACGTGCGCAAGTCTGTCACGGGCAAAAGGCATCACGGAGTGCGCAAGGGGGAGTTGCTATTCTTACCAGACATGATGTGGTGGCTATTGATTGTGGGAAAAAATGGTGCCGCGCGTGAACTGTACCAGACTACGAGGTGGTTGAGGCAACTGGTTCTTATTGGAGGTACTCCTATCCATATTGTATATTTGTACAACGAAGCTGGCAATGATGTGTTGATCAGGTCGCGCAACAACAGGAATTGTCAGTATGCTTTTGAAGATGCCGAATCGTTTGGTGACCAGGCGGCGTTTCTGTGTGTGGGCTCGAACACGACAACTACCCAATCATCAATGCTTTCAGCTGCACTCGCAACTGGGCGATGGCATGATATTGGAGCTATCTATGGCAGTGAACCCACATATGGCCAAGACCCGAGTTGGGACAAATTCTCACCTGGTACGAATGTCAGCCGACCAGACCTGATCATTGCCAACACAGCTGCGCGAGAAGCTATTCATTATTTTCGGCTACGGCGTGATCTGGGGATACGTTCGCATCCTGGCTTGGAGCTCACTATCAATGTTACGCAACTTGAGGAAAGCTGGCAAAGACTACGATTACCAATCGCTTATCCTATCGAGGCGCTCAAGAAGATCACCGAGGAGGAGAATGAGAGGATTGGGATTGAATGGATTGAACAATATTATGAGAATTTTGAGCGTGCGTTGGAAGATGAGTTACCCGACGAAGCCTGGAAACAAGTCGGCCTCATCGGGGAGTTGTTCCTTGAGAAGCGACTCGAGCACACAGGCATTCGTTTCGATCATCGGTATCATGGACACAGCCAGATGCCAGAGGTGATTGAATTCTCCACGACAGCTCCCGTAAACATCAAGCGGGGCCCAGCACGCGAAGGACCAACCACTATTCAAATGCGAAAGATCGAGAACGTCATATCCATATTGATGGAGTTGGCAGTTCGAATCAGCCAGTACATACATGGTGATGGACAAAGTACTTCATCGCCTACAATCATGCAGCGTCTCAATGCACAACGGCTTTGGGACAAAGTACGCCCACAAGCACGACGAGTACTGCGAGTCGGCCAAGATCAGCCACCGATGGGACTACCACATCTCGACAACATCACGACTTGGCAGCAGCAACTCGAGCAAAGACACGCACAGGTTGCCAAAGAAAGAAAACAGGCCCGCATTGATGAGTGGAGGAAACGGCTACGACGATCTCTCCGCTTTGAAGGTGGGAGAGACCTATATTCATGGATCAAACAACGGCAATATCATACTCTTCATGCGGCGCGTGGTTATCGAGGCAAAAGAATTGTCACACAGCGCCCACAGATCATGGAAGAGGTTGACAAGTTCTGGCATGCTATTTTCAATAAAGAAACTTTGCATACCTGGGATGCTTTCAAAGCTAGGTTTGGCCAGCACATCGAGGCCAAGCCATGCAATGTTGAGGACATCACAGGTGCACCCCTCCAGAAGCAATTTCGACGAGCAGGTGTACATCGAGCTGTTGCTGCAGATGGCTGGCGCATTGGTGAATTGAGAGCACCCCAGTATGCATGTGTAACCTGTTCGCGCTCTTGCGCAAAGCAGTTGAAGATCAATGGATGAGGTGGCCGCAGGTAATGACCTTGGGTATTACAAGCTGTCTGCCGAAATGGGACCCTGAAGTTGATCACAGTGAAGAAGTTGAACCTGACGAAGTGTGGCTGGCCACTGTGGACCAGACGAGGCCCATCACTAACCTCAGTCCTATATAGACTGCACTATCGGGCGACCGCTTTCAACAGATGGCGGAGTGGAGAGAGGCCTGGATGCATCCAGGCGCTGCAGGCGCCCGACAGCACCATCATTATCAAGCTATTGCATGGGAACTCAACCTTGAGATCGAGCAGGCTTACCTCGCACGTACACCTATGTCGGGGTGCACGGCAGATCGCAAAAACAAATCTTCGACCTTCTCGAATATGAGATTGGAGATAAATTGATGGAAGCACTTGGTTGCCCCACTGGTGTCCTGCGGGCGTCGCAGGAGTCCTATGCCAATCTGAAGACGCGCTGGAAAGCGGCACAGACAGTGCCGAGAAGACGAGGAAAAATGGATATGTTCAGGGCGACAGCTGGTCTCTGCAGCAAGCTCTGGCTCTGATGACAGTATGGTCGAATGCGATTGAACACGAATGTCACGCTAGAGTGAGCAGTTTCATTGACGACGGCAACTTTCGAGCTGATGGCCATGATCACGCACAAAGAGTGGTGGAAGCTACGAAAATAGCATTACAGCTCGACGAGCTAAGTGGCACGGAGACGAACCTTAGCAAGACAAAGCACTATGCCACACCCCACAAGGCCGAAAGTGGTCTCATCAAGGCAGCTCAGTCCTCAGGTATGCAGATCAAAATGACACGGCATGTTATTCTTGTGGGGGGCGAAGTGGCTTCGATTGGCACA